CTCTTGTCCAATTCTAGCCCTATCTTATGATGCACCATTCCTGAACAATTGGCCATTCACCAGATCTCTGGAATTGACCAGCACACCTTGCACCAGTGCCTTTTTTCAAAGACCCTTGTGCGCTCAGAAAGCACTGCCAATCTGGAGCTGCCCTGCACAGTTTCTGATATTTGGCCTGGACTTGACCAACAAAGAGAAACTGATGCCCCTCTTTACGTGAAGGGACCTGGAGTTGTTGCTGGGCAGGGTGATGCGCAGATGGGATGTCCTCTTCCCCTAGGACTGGCAGTAGAGGCCATGGCACAGACCATGCTAGCCTGGTCCCAGGTTGCCACTCCACCAATGAAGTGCAGGAATAAATAGCAATGTTGGAAGAAGGTCAATATTCTTCCTCACTCTGCCGGGATAAATGCCACCATCTTCTCTCCAATTCCTCACACACACTCTATCTCTGCTCCTCCCAACGAAGCTGATGCACTGCCACTCTCAATAATGCCTGTAATCTGCCCTCAGTCACTGTTATCCACCTCAATCCCCAACACCACTGAACCTAATGCCCCCTGCATTGCCTACTCACAATCACTCAGGTCACTTCTCCACTAGCACTAAAAGTAAAAGCTGAGCCACATCAAAACCTGACTCTCATTCCAGATGAAAACAGCCCACCTGAAAGCAAAAAATGCTGGAGATCACAGCGGGTCAGGCAGCATCTATGCAGAGAATGCGAGCTAACGTTAGCTTGCTCTCTCTGCTTGACCCGCTGTGATCTCCAGCATTTTTTGTTTTCGGATCAGATTCCAGCATCTGCAGTAATTTGCTCCTGAAAACAACCCACCATTTGTTTAGTGGGTCTACTGATAGCACGTGGACTGCAGTGGTTCAAGGAGGCAGTTTCTCAAGGGAAACTAGGGATGGGCAACAAATGCCAGCCCACCCACCAATACCCGCATCCCACAAATTCATTTCAGAATAAGTCAAGGTGGGTGTTGGCAACTCAACATGTGGCTCCTCATCTCTTATATTATGAGTCTGACCACCTTGAGCAGCTTGCTGACCATGTCCAACCAAGCCCCTGGACCGTACTGAAAGCTTGACTGACTGCGCCAGGACTCCCTGAGTGAAGGCTATCTCTCTTGACCTAATTGAGGCTTGCTGGCAACCATGACGAGCTTTCTGCTTTTGTGTTTACACTAAACAGCAAGGCAAGACAGCAGAAATATTAGCCTGGTATCTCTAGCACAAAATGGTAAGGCAATGCAAGGAAGTTATGCTGTTAGCATCTGGGTAAGTTGCAGAATGGCTGAGTGCTATGATAGTGAGCGAACCGGCTGCAGATGCAGCCTGCTGCAGTCCATCAGCTGGGTGCATTTCACTGAGTGCACAGTGTGCTGATTGCAGCATTACAATGGTAGCCCAAAGTACAGCACTGAAATGCAGAACAATACTGTAAGTGGATTAGAGATGTGCCACAAGGGTTCATAGAGGTTGGAAGATGTCAACTACCAATATCCGTGGGTGTGGGGTATGTGAGGCCACTGACCACGGAGATGTATGTGCCCAGTATCCAATGTGGAGTGCCTTTGCTAGCCTGAAGTTGCCAAGTATCTGTGCTGACTTACATGTCAAGAATTCTCGCTGTGCAGCTTGTCTGGTGCATTTAAGATAGGAAAATGATCGTAAATGAAGTGAGTTGTGTTGTTAATAAGGCACTTCACAAGCTCTAATCCCCCTTAATTGGCAACTCACTGCTGCCTTGTGAGAAACTTGCCTTGCTGCTCAGCAAAAGCTTAAAAGATGCAATGAAATGCTCCAAAACATCAAGATAGGCCTCCGTGGACTTTGTGTGGGATTCTGCCACAAATCTCTCCACAGCCAGCATCGATCACACCCCTGTAACCTTCTATCTCATGTTGCCATTCTTAATTCCATCAAGGAGAACTCTTTAATGCAGAGAAATGACAATTACATCCTGTTACACGGAATAACTGCGCTCCTTCATGAAAGAGTTTCCCCTTTTTGGATTCAAAAGGATGTGGGCATTGCTGGCAAGACCAACATTTATTGCTTATTCTTATTTGTCCTTGGGTTGTGGCTCGTGAGACTATTTCAGAGGGCAATTAAGATTGCATTGCTGTTGGTCTAAGCCACACATAAGACAGCAGATTTCCTTCCAAAAGGCTATTATTAAACCAGATGGGTTTCAACACTAGTCTAGTAGCCTCAAGATCACCATCCATGAAATTAGCTTTGTACATCCATTTGATCCGCATGAGGTCAGAGTATGTGTCGGTACAGTGCACAATCAATGGGGACTGGGTATCACAACTAAGCACAACCTCACTGGCATCCATACACTTTCCACCATCAGTCACTAAGGAGCAGAAACTCAGGATGACCTTTTTAACCAATGTATTTGGCAACTATATTACCATATAGACCACTATAATCGTTCCTGTCACAGTAAGGCAGCCTGATATACTGTAGATGCAGTCAGAAACTACAACCTCCCATCCCACATTACAGGGTCACATCTCTAAATGTATTTTTAACTTGGTCTACCAGTGTAACAGGGCATATATATATTTAGCACGGTCTACCAGTCTAACAGCAATGATAATTGGCACAGAGATAGCAGGAACTGCAGATGCTGGAGAATCCGAGACAACAAGGTGCAGGGCTGGATGAACACAGCAGGCCAAGCAGCATCATAGGAGCAGAGAGCCTCTCTGCTCCT